AATTAGAAGCTATACGACTCAAGATGCAGCAGCAGGATAATGGAGGGAATAATCACTACAGGAAATAATGTGAACCTGTTTGGTTTTAACACCCATGCATGTATGCATTCAATCACTATATTTATAGTCTCAGGGATTCGAATGGCAAACTATTCGTTCCTAAACCTAAAACTGACTATCTTAAATGCTCCTTCAGTTATTTGGTGCAGCTTCGTTGTGGAATAGCCTGCCTGAGTTTATGCGATTTTCTCAATCTCTATCTTCCCTTTAAAAGACAATTAATTGTAATGCAATTTAGCATAATCCGACTCCCGTACCACAACCTGGTAGAACTGAAGTTTTTTATGATTATCAATTATTATACAATTTATATAAGTTTAGAGAAATTTATTAGCTTTACTAAATGGTTTACCGTGGTTTTAAATAAAGGCGATGTGTGTATGTGTGTATGTATGTATATAAACAGGCCATAAGTAATGAAATTATAGTAATAAGTATAGTAATAAAAATAATGTATTTGACACTTGACAGCGAATAAGTACTCCAACAATATAAGTACGTGCATGTTCGCGCGGTTAAAAACAAGTCTTCAAATTTTAAAAAGAGTAATATCCGCGGTTTAGTTTTTATTTGTTAATTGCAAGGCTCTTGTGTAACATCTGGGGGGAACACTCTGTTAGAAGCAAGTATTATTCACGCTGGGTAATTCATTTCATATAGGGCGTTAAAAGAGCAGGCGCTGCATACCGATAAAGTGAGTAAAAAAAACCCAACCATATATCGGTAAGGAAGTATAAATTATCGTATATCTCTCTCAATGTTGATGCATAGAATTATTCGCTACAAATTTCTCAAAAATAGTTACATGATATAGGCAATTAATAAATATATAGATTGGCTATAATTACATATATATACGTAATTAAGTGCTGTATTTTTTGCAAAACGTTTCTTATCTTATATACGCGTTGTGTATATATAATCACTTATATTTAATGACTAGCTATATAGTATTTATTTGCGGGTTGCAATACTCGGCATCATTTATTTTCATTCCTTCAGAAATGCAATATACCTATAGTAGGAGGCAAAAGTTTGAGTCCAGTGAGTGTGTTTCATTGTTTTAGCTGCAGATATTAATTTTCTACAGAAAACCTTACAGATAAGTGAACTAGAAAAAGGTAAATAAGTAAACTGAAAAATACATGCTGCACAACAACTATGAGATGTTATGATACTCATTTAACGTATGTTAATGTGCAAACATGCATTACATGTCAATGCTTAGTATCCCTCTTTTTTGCTCTTGAAACTGCCTTTGTTCTTGCTGGCATAGATTCCATAGGTTTTTTAATGTCGCACGTTCAATACCTTGCCAGCATTCTTTGACCACTTGCCTCAAGTCATCCTGGCTGGTTGGTCTGTGCCTCACCCTTTTCGGTTAAAACGGTCCTACAAGTGTTCCATACGTTTTAGATCTGGAATTTGAGGTGGAAAGCCATGAGAACGAGATCACCAGAACGAGTTTTCTTCTAAAATATTTCTGGCACATAGAAGATGTGCATGTGCTTAGGGTGATTATCATGTAGTTAGACGCGCGATCATCTTTGTACCAGGTGAAATTCCATGTCCTTGAAGAATTGGATGATACTTTTCTTTAATTAGGATACTATTATATCTTTGAAAATTGCCAAAGCCAGCATGACCAAAGCAGCTAAAAGCATGCTTGAGTGGGATTTAGTTTCTTCGAACTCTCCAAGTTTAGTTGCATACCACCTTTAGAAATTCTCACTTTTTCTGCGATCTTATGAGAAAAGAATCTTTCAATACTTAATGCAACTATTTGTCCTTGTGCACCATCACTTTGCCCTTTCTCCCACCCATCTTGGACTGTGTAAAGGAACGAGAACTTTATTTTGTTATAATTTAGATCATTAGGACCAAAATAGTGTGCAATTGATATGGTTTACAGTACTGAAACACTAGCACGCATGTCTTAACTCGAATACGCTTCCAGGATTTAATACAAGAATTCTACACTGTAGCCAAGCAGCTTTGCAATTTATTCGCATTATGTCATTTTTCATTTTCACTAACTGCGAAAGCAATTGATTTCAATTGGAGGAATTAATGATAAAAACTTAAAATGTTTATAGCATGATAGTATACGATGGATTTTAAGGTTGGCTACGCAACTGTCTGTCCTTTAATTCTTTGGCACAGCAGAATTGCATATACATTGCGCCATGCAGGCTCTGGCTTCTGAGATAAGCAAGCGTGTATTTTCATGGCGAATTTGACTGATTTGAGTTTTGTGTCATTTCAATGAAGTATAAGTTTAGGTCAGGTTAGCTCAGGAAATTGTGTACTTGGTTTGAAATAGCGAGGGGTTGCTGCATGGATGTATTTCTAGTATAAAGATAAATACGTTATTACCGTTTTGGTCGGACCGGTCAAAAAAATATTTCCCTGCATGGGTCTCAAAAATATACAGGTAAACATAAAGCTGTTTGCAAACCTACTTTCTTCGTCCTATATTCCGGAATTGATGGTTGTTTCGTGACACATTTAAACGTATAATTGTTTAACATCTTTAGAGTTTGTCGCATATGGTCTTTCTCAGCAAGGACAGTAACACCATCTTGGCACGTACAAAAGCATCTTGTACCTGAGGTCGGGAAAAATTTTACGAAGTGCTCTAGGTTCAATGGCTTCAATTTCATCGCTCAAATATTGTGCCAAGTTGTAATGCTATACCTCGCACGAAAATGCAGGTAACGTATACTCGGAATAATAACGTATACTCAGACTAACTTGTCAGTTGGTAACTTGGTATGGAGGATCTCTTGAGTAATCGTAATATAAAGCATATAATCTTTTCGAAGCTTTCTTGCGAATATAATTTATGTGCCCGATCCATTTAAGGTCGTTTAAGATCATAACACCGATTAATTTATTATTTAGCGGAACGACGGCAACCTCCTCACCGCCAATGGTGATCGGTGGAATAGTCCCAGGGTCAAGAGAAGAAAACCCAGCACAAATTTATTTGGTTTTCTTGGGATTCAATTTCATGTTATTCTCAGAAACCCATTTGATAGTTTCCGTAGATTGAGACGGTAAGGCGGAATTGGATTCTTGACTTTACAGATGATCTCCCATATGGTGGTGTCGACAACAAATTTCACCGTACAAACAGAAACATTCAAGTCGTTCACAATTATGAGGAAGAGAAGGGAGCCTAGGGGGCTTACCACTACTGTCAAATTTTGCACGTTTCAACGGTGGATATTTATCAAAAACACTGTTCGTGAACTGTTCGTCACAAGAGCCCAAGCGATACATTGGAGACCAGTTGACGTTCGATAAGGCTTCGCTAATTAACCTCCTATTAGAAGGACGCGCATCTGTAATCGTTCGGAAGGAAGGTGCCGCAAGTGCCTACTGCCTATTAGTGGATTGAGTAAAACTGAGCTGTGGTCTGACAAAACGAGGAGGAGGGAGGGGGACAATTTCAGAAACGTCATAAAATTGTGAAATGTTTTTTAATATTTTACCTAGAATCTTGGATCCCCTAGCGGCATTCTTTACGATCTGTTTTAACGAAAACGATTTACAGAGTTGGCGGTGTTAAAATTGATCGAAGTCGCCTTAGAATGATAGCGTTAAGAGGCTCCGTAAGATAAGACAGCGTGGTTTTTTTATGTTGATCGAAATAGATGTCCTATAATATAGTTTGATTTACGTGGTGAGGGATATTTTGTATATTTGATATAAATATTTTGACATACACCAAGGTACATTTTCAAAATTATTAAAATCCTTCTCGGCGGTACACCTGACTACTCGAAACTGAGCAAGAATGGACTGAACGGCGTTTGCCATGTTTTCTACCCTCTCAATATGCATAATTAGATACAGGTGGTTACCCACATAGGTCATTTGGCTTGTTTCCACCTTGTTTAAGCTTTGCATATAATTGTGAGCGTTGTGAATAGTGATCGGTTTTGCATGTGAAAATGTATTATGCATGCATGTATGCGCAGTAAAAAGGTCGAGTAAATAAATTTTAAAATAAACAAAGTTCGGTTTGGTCGACAAGTATAGTTGCTTAGCAATGAGAATTTAAACACGTATTTGTCAAGGCTTGTGTGCTAACATCTGGACTCATAGGAAATACGTATTTTTAACACGAGAAAATGTGAGACTAAAAATTTCGGACTACCAAAAAAACACATTAATCGCATGTCTCATGAGCATTTTCTATCGTTTCGACAATTGTGAAAATTGTCTATTAGATTGTGAAAATTGTTCACAACATAGTTTATTTTAATTTTACTTTAATTTAAAAAATATACATATTCCTCGAGCCGGCCCGGTGTCATTGCGAAATACATGACCACGCGTGACGAGTCATGAATTTCGCGTCTTACTCGCGCGAAAAACATGACGATTGCGAAATCTATGATTTCGGCGGCCGAGTGCGACTGACAACTGTTTTGTTTTGGCTAATTTTGATCAAAATTTTAGTAAGTTTTATTAATTAATCGAGAATAAGTGTAAAACAAAGATTCACTAGGACAGATAAAACTTCATTGAAAGCTATTTACATCGCTAAAATACTTTAGATTATCGAATTTGAACAAGTATAAACGGCATGTTTTATACGATATTAACCCAGTCCACGGGATGTTTTATACGATATTAACCCATTAACCCAGTCCAACTGTCCAAGGTTGACAATCTTGTTAAAAACATGACTTTGACTTGTCAAGTTCTAGCAAGACCTTACACAAGATCCTGCCAAGATCTTTCTAAGACCTTGTTAAATCATGCAAGATTTTACCATGATCATTCATGCAGGATCCTGCAAGATGTTTGTCATGATGCAAGCTGCAAAACCCTGGAAAATTTTTCCATGACCATGCAGAATATTGGAAGATTTTGCCATGATCTTGCAGAATCGTGGAAGACTTTTGCTATTATCTTGATTACCCAACTACTTTAATACCCCACTGTAGCGCGCAGTATTATATTATCTAAGTAATCTAACCAGGGTCTTCGTTGCGCTGTACCCCTCTCCATGAACACAGAAGACTTTATTGGGTAATAGAGTGGTTGAATTGAGTGGTTGGGTAGAGTCAGTTTGGTAATGAACTAGTTGGTTAATAGGGTGGTTACATCATAAATTATTGGGTACTAGAGTCAGCTGGGTACTAGAGTCAGTTGGGTAATGAAGTAGTTGGAACCTCAACGTCCGCAACCTCTTCACCAACACCTGGAACCTCAACGTCTGCAACCTCCTCACCACAACCTACAAACTCAACACCTGCAATGTCTCCTCCACCAACACCTGGAACCTCAACACATGTAACCTCCTCACCACCACCTGCAACCTCAGCTTCTGCAACTGCCATACCAACACCTGCGACCTTATTTTCAACATCTGTATCAGCACCTCTCTCCCGAAATGGTTTGATATGAGCCAGACTGATGCTTTTCAGCACCTTATTGGTTTTTGTGTTGCACAAAACAACCTGGTGATCTGTAAGGCTAACCACAACATAACCATCAAGCCAATCTGGTGTCATTCGATCACCCTTTCAGCCTCCAAGCTTCTTAGGATTAGCCTTCATGACTGCTTGCCCAACATGAAACTAGTACGCCTTATAACCTTTCATCTTTTTCAATTTATTATATATTTTTTTGATTTTCTTTTGCATTGATGTTATTGGCAGTAACCTATGGAGCAAACATTTTTGTTCACAACTGTGAGTTCTAGTAGCAGGACAGAAATATTGGCATGAAACAAACTACTATACCAGAAATTGTTACAACGTACCTTGGCTTCCATCACACTCAGCTGTTCCTGCTTGGAACTTACATAATCAGCCACTTCATTAGGAGTTATTGCTTTCAAAATGATAGGAGCAGGCACATCATCCTCCTTTTCCACAGGCAACTCTGATGGAAAACGTGGCTTCCTTATGTGCATGATCTCATATGGAGTGTGTTTAGTTGATTCGTTAAAAGACGAACGGACACCACAGCATGCTTGTTCAATATAAAGGTGCCAATCATCCTGCTGTTCATCGACCATCTACAAACAGAGTACCGAATGATATAAAGTAGTTTAAGTTTTCCCTAAGTTCCATGCAGCACTGGTGGTCTACAGATAATGATTTATTACATGAAGTCATGAATAAAAAAACTAACCTAGAATAAAAAAATAAGATGACCTAGTTTTTCTACCTTTGAAAGGTGACGCTTGAGAGTTCCATTAGTGCGCTCATCTTAACAATTTGTTTGGGGGTGATAGGCAGCTGTGACAAGATGGCGGATGTTAAATTTTTTTAACATTAATCCGTTCAGCAGCTGAAAATAAATTAAGGTTATACAGATTAGGTTTGCTAATATTAGGCTATCATGCAGGAAGATGTTAAGTGGTGAGCACTTTTACAATGTTTGAAATACTCAGTTGGGATAATGTATCTCCATACCTTGTTGTTAAACTCTGTACCTTGGTCACTTAAAATCTTTAGTGGTGCACCCCAACGATGTATCCACTTCACTAACACCTGGTACACAAACTTTGCTGATTTTGCCTTGATTGGCTTGGCTTCTACCCACTTGGAATAGAGACATGTCCCTGACATTGTGTATTTAAAACCTGTGGATGTCTTCTTGAATGGACCAATAAGGTCGATACCAACAACCTCCCAGGGCTGTTTGGCCTGTAAGTAGAAAATAATTTGACTGATCTATGATCAAATCAGGTAGCAGTAATTGAAATACATATGGGTTTCAAATAAAGCTTATTAGATTTAAGATTAGCTATACAGTCTCATTTGTTTTGAAGCTGGGATAAGACTGTATGCTCACTAAATCATGTAATTTTTATGAGACTTACATATATTGGTGTCAGTTCAGGAACCATTGTCTTTATCTTTTGCACTTTTTGACACTGAGGGCATGTGACAATCTAAAAAAAACAGAAAGATTTTACAAAACAAGCATATTTTATAACCTAGGAGAATCTCATCTACACTTACAAACTCCTTTACATCTTCTGTGATGGTTCTCCAGTAGAACCACTCTGTGATGTTTGCCTGTGTCCGCTTTTCCCCCATGTGCCCACCCGCTGTCCCATTGCTATGAATATCATTGAAGCACAAGTTCAATCTGGAACAAAATTTATCACACAATCAATGAACCAAGTGCTAGCTGTCTCATAATGTTCATTTTCAACTATTAAACTATATATAATAATAATTACATGTTCATGCTTACTATTTTGTCTTTGTCATGCAATTACTATATTCAGAATAATTATATAAAATTATTACATGATATATACACTAACCTCATCTCTTGTAAATAGCACTTTAACCTTTTTAGTATTCAATTGATTTTTTCCTTGCTTACCCACAAAGTACAAAGTGTCACTAAAATCTGATTAATTCATGTATGTATCAAATATTGGCATGTGTGTAAGTTTTCAGATTCACTATTGAATGTGTACATAAAGGGTTAATATAAAAATAAATAAATTTATAAATTTAACTTATAGTTAATAGTCTAATTAGACAGAAATACCTAGCCTCCACCACAGGTCTCTGTCTCAGCATTTGAAATTGAAAAATAATTTGTCTTGCTCTAAGACACAGAGGAACAGTCATAGACGATATAATATTGAGATCTGTAGAGGAAGCTAAGAGTTACCCATGTTGTGTAACTTACAGCTTCTATTTATAGCTGAACAGCTTGCCAAAAGATACCAAGCCAAATTATATCAAATAAAGATAAAAAAAAATTCCACTCAAGCCAAATGAATAATAAGAGCTATAAAACAGGTAAACAATAAAATTTATAAGATCATATCACATATATTATTAATATTATTGTGCGATGTTTCACTGCGAAGTTATTAAATGCCTAAACATACCTTCATATTTAAAGTTTCTCGAGAATTGGGACAGCGTGTGTATATTTTTTTTCCTTGCGACTTTGTCCAGAGTGGCAAAATGAGTTGGTGCCTGGCGTCCTGATTTAAGGAAGTGCAGCACATCTTCCACCGAAGCCTAAGTCATTCAAATTGTAGTGTTAATACATGATCAAAACAACGGCAAATTCATAGGTAGCTATTAATAACAACTAATATCTTGGTTATGATCACAATAATTTCGTCATTACACTAAAACAACAGTCCGAACATCGGTATCGGATCGAAGTCATCGAACATTTGAATTCGAACTAAACAGGGTTTGGACGACAATGACATACCTTATATTTACAGATTTCCGAGTCAGGTTTATTTCCTTTCACGTCAGAACAGCAAGCTGATTCAGTTGTTGGATTTGCAGCCATTTACGTAACAAAAATACTTTGAAAAATCTTTCTTTCAGACAAGTCAGAGAACACGTGTTGAACAGTAAACACTAAACAAGTTGCGAAATTTATGAACGGAATGTAATTTATGCGCGCATTGCGCATGCCCAGAACCGCGACACTCATATATTTCGCAAGTCATAAATCTCGCGTGACACCGGAGCGCCGTGCGAGGGTTCTAATCCCGCCCGGGGATTAGGAATTACATCCGGGTAGTGTGACAGAACATAGCGTTTGTATTTCACAATGTTTGTATTTCAATGAAAAACGTCGACAATTTAATTGTCATTTTGCGAACTATTTTTTTATAAAATGTTTCGCAAACACAATATGAAATGCGGACAAGTAAAAGATATGAACACTGGAAAAAAAATAAAATATGATCAGAACTGGGAAAGTTATACGGTGAAAGTTAAGCGGTGAACAACTCGTACTTATAATCGTTGAAGTGGTAGGTGTCAACTTTGTGTATTTGTGTGCAGTAAGAATGCATTTTATGAGCTTGGTACGTCGTTTTGCGAAGACCTAATTAACTATTTACGGCTTTACATCATCGTTTTAACTTCAAAAAGAGTTCTTGAAAGTGTAACTCGGAGATTTGATATCAAAAAAATAATATCACTTTAAAGCTTTTATATAGAGTCGACTGCAATCACTGCACGATTTCAATAACCAAAAAACAACATTTGACGTGTAGTGTTTGGGGATTCAAATTATTTCTGCTGTTTTGAAGGTATAGCTATAGTTAAGTATTAACTAAGTCTATATGACTATAACTGGTTGCAACGTAATGCAGCAGGTAAACGGTGATTTCATTTCACGTTTACGACTGTGTTTGTTTCCGAAAAATGTGAAACATCAGCTATTATATTGAGGTCTTGCTAGCTCAGGAAAAAAATTTTCTTCATTTGAAATGGCGAGGGGTTGCTGCATGCACGTGTATTTCTATAGTAGATGATTTATCCTAAATTTAATTCTTTCGGAAGCTGAAGAGTTAGTCTACTGCGTGGGAATATACCCGAGAAATTTGCTCGTTAACTCAATGAACCTAGTAAACTACGAATTCTGCGGATCGAGGTTTCTTCATATTTCGAAACTACCTCATTTCTGAATAACTAAACTTGGCGGCGTTAATTATCTTGATGTGTTTTAATGAAACAAGCTTAGCACGAGGCATTATTTAAAATGTACATTTTAAGTGTTATTCACAGCTAACAATGAAATTACAACTCTTAAACTCTGGCTGAATGGAAACAGCCGTAGAAGTGGAATCTAGAAGAGGAACGATAAAATATGCAACGTATTAACGTAATGCACAGGTGAACGGGTGATTTCATTTCACCTTTATTACGACTGTGTTTGTTTCAGAAAAATTTGAAACATCAGTTAGTATCGGCATTACATTTTAAATAAACTTAGAAGGTTAGGTCTGGTTAGCTCAGGAAACATTTTGCTTCCAATCCCGCCAATTTGCCATAAATTATCAATGATTATTAAAGGCTGGTTCACACTAGTCGTAAAAATCCTAATAATCGTAATATTTTGCCTTCTGCGACCGTCCCAGTTATTTACTGGTAAATGTGAACATACAAAGGGGGATATCCCAGACACTTTGCGACAATGTCGTAAATATCGGGAAAATAGGAATTGTTTCTATTTGATTGGGATATCCCTGACAAACTGCGACAATCGGCGATTCCTACGACGAGTTAGGACAAGTGTGAACATGAAATCCGACACGTGCGACTTTTCAAAATGGCGGATGGCCAAAGAGTTCAATTGCAAGATAATATATATTTAAAAAATCTTGCTGAAAAGTCTCAAAATGGTGATGATATGGCTTTTATGGAAATTATAAAAGAGTTTCCGAGTATATACAACCGGAGTAGTGCTCAGTTCAAAGACAAGAACATAAAAGCTAATGCATGGAAGGAGATTGCATCCCTGCATAATGAATCGGATGTGAATACCTGCAAACAAAGATACGAGAGCATTCGAACCACTTTTTCGCGGTATCTTAAAAAGTGTAAACCACCTTCTGGATCTGGCAGTGATGTAGTAGTGCTGGAGCCCAAATACGAGCATTTACGTTGGCTATGTTCGTTTATCAAGTCACGATCGACTTCTTCAAATATACCTGCAAAACAGCTCAACTTTTATGATGATAATAATTCAGAGCCTGTGCAAATGAATGATGTAAATACACAGGAGGAAGAAGATATGCTGGAAATGTATGATTTGGAAGATAAACCCACTGCTGAAATGCCCGAAAGGTGTGTTTGTATTGATAATTAATGATAAGTACCTTCAGAACTGTTAGTCTTATACTGTATTTTCATTATAAGTAAAACTTGCTCATTCTCTTAAAGTCACTGTTTTTGCCAGTTTAAAACAAAAACAAATTACTTGTTCCAGAATATATATAGTATGAGATGCCAAAAGTACACGATATTCAAAATTTATGTGTGGCGCATGCACATGCTGCTATAATCTAGTTTGAATTTATCTGATAAGGATGGTAAGAAGCAGACGATACACTGTAGTGCAACAGAGACATAAAGACTTGCACCAAATATACAGTAATCTGAAGTTTGCTAGATATTAACTACAGTCCTTGTCTTTCTAAATTTAATATTTTATTTACCAGTGTTTCCAGCAAAAATGATGTAACTGCAACTGATATGCAAAAGCCAGGTTCTGCTAAGAAAGCAAAGAAGTCAACAGCTGGTGTGAAAAGACCATGGTCGAATGAACACAAGCTGCCAGATGCAGATCTAGAACTTTGCAAAGTCATGCATAGCTTCCAGAAGTCACTTGAGGCCTCATACAAAATCCCTGATGAAAACACAACCATGTCAGCTGATGTCCATTACTGTTTAAGTTTGGCAGATAGAATGAGCAAGTTGGATGACAGATTAAAGGTATATGTTAGGCATTGCATAGAAAAGATCTTTTTCGACTTGGAATTTGGGGGTGTTTTGGCAGCTGTCTCAACTCCACCTGAAAGTTCAAACTGATTTATTTTAGCAACAGTTACAGATTTAAGTAAAGAATTCTAAACCTTTTTATTGTAAAGTTAAAGTTGAACTGAATTATGATGAAACAGTGATACATGTTGAACTAGTTGACACTTTTTAGTGATCAAATTTTTAAAAGTTTTATGTAATGACAATGAATTACATGTTGTAAATAAACATTTATAAGTTTCTTTTTTTTGTATGCAGCAGTTGCAAAGTCCTCCCCACAGTTTCTGACATGTTTCACTTGCCAAGCTACTGAACCTTCTTTGCTGTTAAAATATTTCTCAAAACGTTCCCTTGTCATTTTTGCATCACCACCATACTTATTGACTCTCTGCTGAAGGGACGTCATCCCACCAGGATTATTGCCAACGATTGTGCGCCATTCCCCTGGAATAATTTCACCGCTTCCATCTTCTGTGTCCACAAAGCCTTGTGGAACATAATGTGCATTGTCAGATAATTGTAAATAGTTCTGTAAACAGATACAGGCTTTGACAATACCGTCAACATTACATGGTTTGGCCTTGATTGGTCGGCGAAATATTCTCCAACGTGCAGATAAAATGCCAAATGTATTTTCAATAACTCGTCTACACCTGCTAAGTCTGTAGTTAAATACTTTTTGGCACTCAGTTAAGCTACTTCCCGGATATGGTTTCATGAGGTAGGTCTTTAGACCAAATATTTCATCAGCCACAATGACATAAGGTAGTTCTTCAGAATCACCAACTTTTTCTGCTTCTGGAATGTTGAATGCACTTGAAGCAAAGCCTTTCCCAATGACTGATTGATTAAATATATTGGCATCATTGTCTTTACCAAAGCTTCCAATGTCTACCATAGTGAAGCAGTATTTTGCATCACAGATAGCTAAAAGTACAATGCTGTGAAAACCTTTATAATTAAAAAAGTCAGACCCTCCTCTTGCGGGACACTCTATCATTATATGCTTCCCATCAAGAGCCCCAAGGCAATGAGGAAAGTTCCATTCCTCAAAAAACTCTTTAGATATTTCTTTCCAGTCAGACGATTTTTCAGGCGCTTTCAAATATTGAGTATTCAGGGCATTCCATATACCAACACATGTCTCTTTTACTATTTGACAAACAGTACTTCGTCCTACTCTGAAGTTAAACGATTGCGACTGTTGAGAATCACCACTAGCCAAATGTCTCAACGTTATTACCAGCCTTTCAGATGGGCTTATGGTTTCGCGAAGATGAGTAGTTTGTTTTGCAATATGTGGGCCTACCAATGACAACAAGTGGTTGAAGCGTTCTGGGCTCATTCGAAGATACCTAAAACATGAAAAACGGCATAAATGTATGAAAAAATTAAGTTATAAGTGTTCAAAACTTCAAATGCGTTTTACCTGAAAAAATATTCTCTATCAGAATTTCGCAGTTCCTCAAAAAGAGAATGGAATTGGCCATATTGTTTTCTTTTTTGTAAATGTGGTCTCACCCAATACTTTCGTCTTCTTCTGGGTTTCCTTTTTTGTCGTTTTTTGATAACAGTTTTCATACGAATAATAGCTAAGAGCAAAAGAAATTGTCCATGCAACAGCAAACGCCTATTTACTGCCGCCATGTTTTTAAAGATTCCCGCGAAACCAACTTGCACATTATGCAAGTGTGAACGTTTCAGTTATGCACGTCCCCGATTAGTCGGATCTATCGGAGTAAAAACGTCGCCGATTCTTACGACTAGTGTGAACCAGCCTTAAACATGAAAAGATTATGCATGCATGCATGTGCAGTAAAATGTCGGGTCATTAAAATTTAAAGTAAGTAAAGTCCGGTTTGGTCTTTAGGTATATAAAGTTGCTTAGCAATGAGAATTTAAACACGTATTTGTCAAGGCTTGTGTGGAGGGAACATCGTAGGAAGCGAGTATTTTCTTTGCAGAAATATTTAACTTATACAGAACAGCAGGCGCCGCCACATTGATAAAGTGAGAAAGCGTTTTTGAATATCGGGCAGATATCGGTAAGAAATTTTGAAGTATTATGTCGTTCAATGTTCAGGCGTATGTTTATTCTCAGCTAGAATGCATGGTGATTATAACAGAGAGTGGTTTATAGAAAATTAATCTTTTCATGATCGCGAAATCATTATGCCACTTGTCGACTAAGATTCACACCGCGTAGAATTGTCATTTAAGTGTAAAAAAATGGTTTTTTTGCCTAAGTGCAATATGTACGGGTAGGCTAAACCCAAAACTTGACACGCACCATGAAGTGCATGCATGAAAAGGGATGAAAACTCCACATAAACTTGTTCACAATATCGTTTATTTTATACAAGCTTTAATTTTACCTCAATTCTAAAAGAATTAACTTTCTGCAAACTTTATTAGTTAATTCAACCCCCTAGTAACTGTATATTTGGGACAATCCTATTTCTATGCTTGCAAAAACCAGCTGTTCTTAAATGAATGAATAAAATATTTTTATGCATGAGAAGCAAGGTTGTGTAGTCATCCTCAGAGTTGACTATTTAAAGACAACTCTTGCATACTTTCAATATCGACTATTTTATCGACTAATTGAAATTATCGGAAACCTTTATTTTAAATTATTGCACAATCTGATTGGTTTTTGAACCCGTCACGGTGCACTTTTGAGCACAAACCATGCATGCATGCCCATATTTTCTATATGCATTAGCAACATGTCGCTGACAAATTTTGAAATTACGCTCCTTCTATAACTGTTTCGATCAATTAAACAGCTGTTTTGATATCAAATTTGAGTTGTAGCTATGTTCTTTCGTAGGAAAAGTGTCAAATCAGTAATTTGATTAACGAAATATTATGGGTCAGAATCCTACACAACTAATCAGCTAATCATTAACCTCATTCACTGAATCAGAGCCAGAATTTAATCCACGAATACAGAATACGTATTATCAGAAGTGTACCTACAGAGATTATTTTTCGTATCATTAAATTTTACCCCCATGCACACGCCAGGATATTTGCAGGACTGTCGGCTGCCTATGAATTGTTTTACTATTCATATAAAAACAATGATATCGAAATGTTTTCTATCGACTCATTTGAGTAACTTAATAATCAAAAGCTTTATTCTGGCTAGCTTAGGATTGTTATCAGAAAAAGTGATGTGAAGTGGTGAGAAAAGTGATCAGTGGTGATGTGGCAATATACAATGCATGTATTTGCTATAAAAGGATCGAGTCATTAAAAATTGAAATAAACAATTTTAAGTTTAAGCTTGAAGTATGAAGTTGCTTAGCAATGATAATTTAAACACGTACTTGTCAAGACATACGCGACAATTAACATCTGTAATGAACGAACACTCCTAAGAAAACACGTTTCTCTTAATTAAAGAAAATTTAAGACCGCTAAAAAATTAAAGTCTGCTATTTGCGAATTGAGAGACTTGACTTTATATAGCTTTCATTAGCTACATTAATGCATATATTCTTGTACGTTTGCATGATGACAATCAAAAAGTAATTAAGCTTGTAGGTACACCACGTAAGTATATAATACGCAAAGCTTTCGGTCCGTTAACCCGGGCCTTATTGCACTGATGAAGTCCCGGCTTAACGGACCGAAAGCTTGCAGTATATATTATATACTTACGTGGTGTACCTACCAGCTTAATTACTTACATTAATTCACTTAGTCTTTTCTTATCAATGGAAACGTCGAAACGTTGACTTATATTTTTAACTTTTATATCTATTGACTATATTTTACGTAAGTGCAATAGAGGAAGAAGGCTAAACCAAAAAATTGATGCGCCTGGTATGCCATGAGTTAAAATAAAATGTCAAAAAAAGATATTTTGTGAGAAATGTTGTATATTTATAGACAAATGGAACTCAATAAACATAAATATAGCTCTCTTCGTGAGTATTTTCTATCGTATCGACAGTGTGGACGTGCTAGTCTTATGCCAGCTGCAATTGTATTCCATTTTAAATGAAATAGTTTTCTGTATAATTTTATTTTATTTTTTTCGGAGATGGAAACCTGTATATTGACACCAAAAGAATTTGCTGCAAAATAATACGCTGTTAGAAACTGTGGGACAGCGCGGGAGCTGGGTTTGACATTTATAGTTAAATTATGTTAATTCATGGAATAGAACAATAACATGTACTTTTGTCTTTTTTTTGAACACGAAGCGAGCGAGTGAGATCAGAAGAAAACTTTTGTATATATTGTGTTTATAAATATATTTAACAAAACGAAGTGAATCATTCAGTGTCTCTGGGACCATTCCCCACACTGAAGGTGGCGACCCCGGCAGGATATAGGAAATACGCGAAATAAGGACTGAACATTCAACGAAGTTTGGGACAAAATTCCGAGCAAATCAAAAGGTGTTTTAATACGTGATATCATACAACTTTAACGGGATAGGAAAAAGAGTTTCTTTTGACAGATATACAGAAGGTTAGTGTTGGACGAAGATTCTACAGTGTATGCGACATTTGGGATATATATCGTTAACAATATTTGAAATATATCGACGTGAAATGTGAAAGGAAACAATACGAAGCATTATTACAGCGGCGCCATATTGCGCTAGAGGGTACGGGATTTATAAATATTGCGCTAATTGGTAATTAAAGTACGAAACAATACAAATTTGCAAAGCGCACATTACAACTTGAGTTGTTAGTAAACAAACATGGACGGCGAAGCCAAACACAACAAATGTATTACCTTGGAAAAACTCAAGCTTGCAGAAGCTGTTGAACTAGGAGGCGCCAATAATTTGGAAGATGTGGCCCTTGCCCACGAGAAAATAACACAATCAATAAAGCGACTGGAAGCATCAAAGGATCAAACTTTACAACATTTAATGGATAGCGACAGAGAAGTGGATTACATAAAAGAGTGGTCGATGGCACAAAAGAACTGTATTACACAATTTCGGAAAGAAAGGGATCAATGCAAAGCACATTTTGAGGAATTACAAAAACATAGGCGTGAACAACAGTTGCAAACAGAACTCGAGGAACAAAAGCGTTTGAGCATTGAAAAAGCGAAATTGAGAGAAAATTACCAAAGGGAAACAGAAGCGGCAATCATGAGGCAACATCAGGCAGAGGAAGAATGGATACGGAGAAAGCTAGAACTGCAGAAGTTAAATGAGAACACTGGCGAAGGGAATAATGCTTTTAAAAAATCAACACCCACGGTGAAGCTGCAAAGATATACCATCACACCTTTTTCTGGAGATTACAAAGATTGGCTTCGTTTTTGGAATCAGTTTAAGGTAGAAGTTGATGAGTCAAATCTTTCTGAAATTAGTAAATTTCACTACTTAATAGAGTTGGTCAAGGGCAAACCTCGAGATGACATCATGGGTTTGCCACATTCAATTGACGGTTACAATGAAGCTAAACGCATACTTAACGAGACTTATGGTAAAGACATTAAAGTTCACAGGGCATTGATTAAAGATCTGGAGACACTACATGCAATAAAGAGTATTCACAACCTCGAATCGATCCATGACTTCCACAACAAGCTGTCAAGAACTGTAAGAACACTCTCTACCATGGATAAGTTAGAATCTGCCCAATCAGCAGTTTATACCCTTATGGATAAGCTGGGACCTGTTCGAGAAGTCCTGGTACAGAAAGATGATGACTGGGAAAATTGGGATCTAAAACAACTTGTAGAGAACCTAAGGAAATATGTGGATCGGCACCCATTGCGTACCGAAGACAGAAAAAACAATGAGCGGAAGAGTGAGAGATTCGGTTGGCAAAACCGGGACAAACTATTACTTGGTAATGGCAGAGATGGACAAAAGCGTCAAAGATGTATTTACTGTGAGTCCGCTGAACACCCTGCGGTGAAGTGTACAAAAGTGTTAAGTGTAGCTGGAAAACGTGACATATTAAAGCAGAAGAAAGCTTGTTTCAACTGTGCATCTGTAGGACATATAGCATCAGCATGCAGAGCTCGAGGATGCCACAACTGTGGACAAAAACACCATACCTCCATATGCCTACAACAAGAAAGATCATCAATGGGCAACACAAAGAACAGTCAAAAGGAAAACGAAAATGTTGGAGAACAAGTGGGGCTCATGACATCCCAACAACCAGGACAATCGTCAAAGGACAGTGAGAATCAGATTGAAGAGAAGGGTATGAGAACAGCAACCCAGAATACTTCTGCTATTCATCCTACCTTACTTGTGAGCGTCGAAGGGGAGCCGGCGAGACTCATGATTGATACAGGTGCAAGCAGTTCGTACATATGCAGTGACCTCATTACGAAGTTGAGGCTAAGACCAAAGAGAAAGGAAAGACGGTGTATTGAACAAATGTATGGCACTTTAAACAAGATGGTGGAGATCTACAACATCACGATTGGATCAACAGTGGGAAATGCGTTCGAGATGGAAATAGAGTGTATTAACGCAGAAAAGGATATCTTGACCCGTGTAACAAATCCAAACATTAATCAGATAAAGAGGAAACAGCCACGCCTTCGACAGCTAACCTTTAGTGAAGAAAAGTCAACTGGGAACATCTTACCAGTCCACATCATGCTGGGGGTAACAGACTATCAACGTATCAAGTCTGGTGCGCCCCCAGTATTGGGTGATGACCAGGAGAAGGATCCAGGAGCCGAATTTACACTGTTCGGGTGGACACTTTATGGTGGTGTTCACACAAGCACCAAGACCGACAAGCATTTCCTACTCCATACTGGCCAAGAAGAGTTTGAGCGACTGTGCAGAGATGATGTGCTTGGGGTAACAGACAGGGACGAGGTGACGTCGTTCCAGCACGAAGAATTTAAGAAGCAACTTCAACAGAATGATGATGGATTCTACGAGACAGGGCTACCTTGGAAAAGTGACTGTATGCCTCTGCCAGAAAACAAGAATCAGACGATTGCACGACTACACAACGTCACGCGAAAGCTTGAGAGAATGGGGAAGCTGGAAGAATATAACAAAATAATGAATGAGCAGCTAAGAGACGGGGTGATCGAGCCTGTTCCAGCTCAACCTACCGGGAAGGTTATCCACTACATACCTCATCAACCAGTGATAAGAGAGCAAGCAGAATCGACAAAAATGCGCATTGTCTACGACTGTTCTTCAAAACCAAATGTGGACACACCCTGCCTAAACGATTGCTTAGAGACTGGGCCCTCATTGCAACCACTCCTCTTAGACATACTCCTCCGCAATCGCTTCCGAATGTTCTGTATCACTGGTGATGTGACGAAAGCCTTTCTTCAAATCATCGTCAAGCAAAACGATCGTGACGCACAACGGATACTATGGTATGACGACTTGACGAACCGGAATATAATCGAGTTCAGGTTTACGCGAGTTATTTTCGGAGCCACTTCGAACCCGTATATTCTCGGTGCAACCTTGGAAAAGCACTTGGAAGAATACGTGAACACGTACCCAGAAACAGTGCGAGCATTAAAAGAGGACACGTACGTTGATGATATACAGGGAGGAGGCGATTCAGAGAGTCTCGTGATAAAGTTTAAGGAAGAATCAACAACCATTATGGCGGCGGCCGGCTTTCAACTGCATAAGTGGCATAGCAACGTATCATCCGTCGAATCCAGTGGCGGTACAGCAGAGGAGGAAGAGACATACGCGAAAACGTTGGCAGGTAGTGGTGACACAAATCAAACGAAAATACTGGGAATGCCTTGGGACAAAGCTACGGACACGATGGCGGTATCGTTCGAGCCGTGCATAAATGTGAGAGAACCGTTAACAAAGCGAAAGATGGTCGCAGCAATCAACGGCGTGTACGACGTTCTGGGATGGTCTTCTCCTGTGATGATCATTGCCAAATTGATCTTCAGCAGTGTGTGTCTTCTTAAGCTGCATTGGGACGAGATATTACCACCTGACATTACACGAAAGTGGCATTCGTGGATCAGCGGATTGAGACAGCAGAAATTGATCTCCGTGCCCCGAAGCGTAAAGTTAAGAAGTGATAGCCAATTTGAGATTCACGGATTTTCAGATGCCAGTAAGGCGGCGGTGTGTGCAGCAATTTACACGGTTGAATACCAAGGATCGACAGCAGTCAACCAAACTTTGCTCGTGGCGAAGTCGAGAGTTGCTCCAAAGGGTACAAGCATCCCAAGACTAGAAATGACTGCAGCTACGACCTTGGCCAAGTTGTTAAACAATGTAATGAAGGCGTTGGAACAACAATCCATTTGTGCAGTCCATAACTGGGTAGATAGTGTGACGGTGCTCTATTGGCTTGCAAACAAAGGGACATGGTCGGTGTTTGTAAGAAATCGTGTCAAGAAAATCAAGGAGTTAACGAATGCAACCTGGCATTACGTTCCAACCAACAGCAACCCTAGCGACGTGGGAACCAGGGGAGCAACACCAAGTAAGCTAACAGATATGTGGTTCAAGGGTCCTGAGTGGATTTCCAAGCATGAATTGTGGCCAGAGCAACCAGAGATAACGGAAACAGCGGAGATTTCCCAAGAGATGACAGCCAAACAAACCCTGGTTAAACAAGCGATCGAAAGAGATGCACAGATGATCAACTACATGTTAACGAAGTTCAAGTATCGAAAGTTGATACGAGTGACAGCATATATCTTCCGTTTCACGAGGAATGCGAGGAAGAATTCACAAAAGCTCCACGGCCCGTTAGCCAAGGAAGAAATTGAACGAGCCGAACTTACTTGGGTGAAAATCGTTCAAGAAAACGTGAAGGATGACGGAGGTTGTACTCTTTACAAGGACGAAAACGGCGTGCTGAGAGTTGACGGACGCATACCTGGATACAACCCGATCTTCCTTCCGAGAAGCTGCACGTTGGACCGACTATTGGTGCGCGAGATTCATGAGCAAATCTGTCACGGGGGAGTAAGCTCAACAATAGCAAAAACAAGGGAACGATTTTGGGTACCAAGGTTGCGGAGATTGGCGAAAGATATCGTGAACAGCTGCAACACTTGCAAGCAAGCCCGACCAAAAGCGTTAAAGCAGCCAACAACGGCGTCTTTACCAACGTTTCGAACCGTGATGACAGAACCGTTCGCAGTGACCGGAGTGGACTTTGCTGGTCCCTTTCTCTACAGAGATAACCGAAAGTCAACGAGCAAGGCTTACGTTGCTCTTTACACCTGCTCTACGACAAGAGCGGTTCATCTGAAGTTGAGCAAGAGCATGGACGCTGACGACTTCAAGAAAGGGTTTAAAGAGTTCGTTGCTAGACGCGGTACACCAAAAAAGATCGTGAGTGATAATGCGTTAACCTTCAAAGCGACCAAACAGTGGCTAGACAGTCTTACTAAGGATACGGACTTGTTTAACTACCTAACGACGGAGAGGATAACTTGGCAATTTAATTTGTCTAGAGCCCCCTGGTGGGGTGGCTTCTTCGAGAGGCTTGTCGGGATAATGAAATCCAGTTTAGCTAAAGTAATTGGTCGAGTGATGCTAACGTTTCCCGAGCTTGAAGAAGTTCTGCTGGATGTTGAATGCTTTATGAACAACCGCCCACTTTGCTACCAAGGTGAAGAATTCGAACAACCTGTAATCACACCAAATTTACTTCTTCGTGGCCAGCCAGCAAACTTCCTAGAAGAAGACGTGGACGAAATGGACGAGAAAGAGAAGGCGACCAAGCGAATGAGATTTCTCCGAGTTTGTCGAGAACACATTAAAAAGCGTTGGCTCACTGAGTACGTCCACGCTCTGCAAGAGAGACACCGCAAGGTTTACAATACTGAGAAAGGATTACCATTGAAAGGATCAATCGTACTTATAACTGATGATAGCAAAATAAAGAAGAAGTGGCGAATCGGACGAATTGTTGACGTTATTCGAGGTCGAGATAATGTTTTGAGAGGATACAAGATAAAGACAGGAAATGGTTACATTGTTGAGAGACCACTTCAGTTAGTGTGTGACCTGGAAATTGACGGTTCGACAGACGAAACGGTAAGCAAAGAAAAAGGAGAGGAAACCCAGACGGGAACCATGAAAGAAACAACTCCTAATGAGGGAAATAACGATAAGCAAGGCGCTAGTGAGAGACCTTCGAGAGCAGCGAAAGTAACGGCAAGAAACCGTATAGTCGGAATTGTAATGAACGAAGAAGAAGAGGAATGAAACGAAGGACGATGAGTGACATTAAAGCTGTCAGACAGGACACTTTAATGGGGGGAGGGTGTTAGAAACTGTGGGACAGCGCGGGAGCTGGGTTTGACATTTATAGTTAAATTATGTTAATTCATGGAATAGAACAATAACATGTGCTTTTGTCTTTTTTTTTAACACGAAGCGAGCGAGTGAGATCAGAAGAAAACTTTTGTATATATTGTGTTTATAAATATATTTAACAAAACGAAGTGAATCATTCAGTGTCTCTGGGACCATTCCCCACATACGCGATGTATAAAGAGATAGTGAACTGTGCAGAAATTCCGCTTAATTGCAAATGATATGTGAAGTCCAGTAGTAATGTAAGAAAGTAATTGGCCATTGCTGTTGTATTTCACCGATTTAACAAAGCAGCAAATTCAGCTTTGCTGTATTTGTTGAAAAACTATTTTTTTCATCTTATTCAACTTGACTTTTACTTTCATTTTAAAAGAATTAGCTTTCTGTATAATTCATTTTAGTTTTAATTCTTTCGGCAATAAAGATATATTTTACCGCGGTGGGAATATATCTACAAGCTTAGCAACTGTATATTTTGAAACAACCCTATTTCTATGTTTGGAAAAATCAGCTGTTTTTTATTTTAAATTAATCTGATTGGCTTTTGAACCCGTCACGATACACTTTTGAGCACAAACCTTGCATGCATGGCACATGTATAAAAAGAGTTCTTCACTTTGAACAATTTGGAAAAAAATGACTCCTGAGCCTCGTTCACATGTAATGGCTTAATTTGGTCAGATTAAAAAATCATTTCATTCATGTGTTGAAGGATGATGTCTTGCTTTCGGGACATAACTAAAACATAACATGAGAGTAAATAACATATATGAGATTATATGCTGCATACACTCAGGGAAAACTTTGTTCCTTTTAAAGTCCCATTAAACTAAATCTGTCAACTTTGAACATATTTTATAACACTATAACATCCTTACAAATTTACATACACTGGGATTATAAAAAATACTTTTTGTTCAAGGGAAGAACAAATAAAACATTTTCACCATTTACTTTGTCATAGCCAGGGAGAAACTTTCCGCAAATTCGTTGAATGGGAATAAACGCAGATGCAGCAAAACAATCAAATAAGCTAGCGCACCAAACTTCTGGGCTACCATCCGACTTGCCACATTGGAAACGCTTAGCGTGGTACTGAAACCAATGCACACGAGCAAAGCAAAAAGTGCAAACACGTTCGCCGACAGTTACAGTCTGTTTCACAAAATAGAGAACGTTTCCCGGTCTTACATCAGTAGAATCAGTACTCACGTTTCCACCATGTTGGGCGGCTCACTTGGCAAGAATGTGCATGGAGGAACGATTCAGCCGAGAGAACTGAGTCGCCAGCACAGTCCACAGAGGCATACTTATCAAAGAACTCAGGAATGGAAAAAATGGAAACGGATGGGAAAAACATTTGGTAAACCTCCGTAAGGTATCTTAACTCATCGTGATCAAATTTCTCAATTGTGTGTGGACCACCAAAAGAAAAGCTCGAAACATTAAACCACAGTTCGTCGTTAATGTCAACTACACCGTCCGCTAACTTCAGTAACTTCAATACCACCTCATGATTGACAAGTAACAGGCTCGAATTGTTTCGACTCTTAGCATTATTCAATAATGGTTGCAATTGATCCTTAAACTCTGCGGGAAACACCAAATTGCTGACAGTGTGATCCTTTGAAAACTTTCGCATCATTTGAAGCTCGACAGACTTATTATTTGTGAAATAATCACCGAATATCCCATTATAGCCCTCGAAACTAAATAGCCAAAACCCAGTTATTGGTCCATAATCAAAAATACAATCGGCTAAGTGTGTATGTAGGTGCATGTTTGGGGTTACACGTAGTTTCCCATACAACTTCTCATATTCGCCACAAAATTTCAGCAAAAGGGAGTCAGCATATGCTATATCTCTCAGCGGAAAAGGAGTAGCTACAAATTAATTTACAAGCCCTAACGAAAATCAGCCAACACTTGTAGTGTTTCTCGGGTAGAATGTCATATAATGCGTACGGAGAAAATATTGTTACCCAATTCTTCCATTGGTCTGCTGTGAAACCAGCAAACGATTTCGATATTTTTCCCGGGATACGACCAATGTTAGTTGGGACATGCACCGCATCAACCTTATTCTGCACTCTTTGCAAGTCAGCGGGAGTTATTATTGATGCTTCTAGCCATGTTTCCATTCCATGCTTAGCAGTACCAAGAAATAGGTTGTGCATTGGATCGATTACGGTGAATCTAATGCAATCAAAGTAGGGGAGTCTAAGGAGCTCTGAATACCTCACGCCATACTTTGACTCTGTTCGACTTCGTTCTTCCTGGGTAGTCTTACTCTGAGTATCCTCCATCTGCCGTCGATGTTCATCACTATTTCATAACGGGCACCTTTTGAAACCGGAATAATCAGTTGGATCACCTACATTTCCAGTGTTAAATATTTTGTTACATTTATTACAACCACGAGAGGAATTACGTCCCGTGAAGCCACATACTTTTCGACTAGCTGGTATATCACACGCAACACACAATAAACATGCCTTAAATGTTTCTGGAATAAAAGGGGAGCCATGATGTCGCAGTTTCACCCCGTCATTCCACAAAATAAGCAGTTCGTCAACAAGAAAGGAAGGTAATATTTAATTTTGGTTTACTAGGTCCAGGAATTACGCCAACAAGAATAACATTTTCAGGTTTAAACCGTTCACTTCTGGGAAGATTCATCAGGACTAAATACATTACACCCAGGGAGTATATGGTATGCTTGAACGGTTGCATCCAGTCAACATTAAGCATGAACGCATAATTACGCGGATTGCCCAGGAATGAAACCCCATTAAAATCTTGGAATTCTCACCAAATTATACCATCAAACACGTCGCATACAACTTGGTTAACAGAACGTACTTCACGTTGACGCCATAACTCACAGTGAGCGGTGAAGTCCACACGATTAACAAGGACTCTTAAGCTCTCCACGATGCTCTTATAACAAAAAACTTTGTGAGGGTAAAGTTTTTTACGCCTGCACTTAAGAGTCACCTCTTTCAACAGAGGAGTACAACATGTTTGTCTTCGCAAGCGTTGCCTGTGATTTGGAAATTTAACGAAAGAGCATTTGTTGGAGACGTGATTTGTTCCAAAAGTACGGTAGCATTTATCAAATTCGTACAAAGAATGGCATTTAGGACATATGACGTACTTAACAAACGCGTCATCAACTAGCCCAATCTCTTTCCGAAAATAATACAAAGTGCCTGGGAAGGCTAAAGCCAGCCCAGCCATCCATTGATTAGAGGCGCCAACAATTTCAAGCCATTTTTTTAATCCAGCCAGAAGAAATTCCATGCCATTATCCGAGATATGGAAGGAAGTCCAAAAATATGCCAGGAATATAACCAGACAACGAGCCAACAGAAGATTTAATGACCGACCATGCGAATTAATACGTACATTCGCCCTTCCATGAACACCTCATCATCCCTGTCATCGGAATCCACCGATACAGAATTTTGCCATGTATTACTAACTGGATCAAAGAACCTTTCACGATGGTCCCTGAAAGTTCTCGCAGGAAGATTACAACCACAATGGAAATGATGCGAAGGATTCTTCAAAATCAGAGAAAGATAATTGAGCAGAATGACACAATAATTAAACAGCAAGAGCGGCAAGAAAACCTAGACAAAGAGTACGGGAAAACACAAAATGCCCAAGTACCATCATTTGTAAAGGTAAGTACAGCTTCACTAAATTGGCAAGTAGTATAGTAAATGATAAAATAAAATTCTGCTTTACTGTACGTGTTGTTATCACCTAAAATATAGGTTAATCGTGAACGAACATAAAGCCAGGATGACCAGCAAGCTTGACAACAAACTCAACTATACTCCACAACACACCTATTTATGTACTTAGGTTTCTGAATGTTTCTGAAACCAAAACAAAAAAACCCTGATATCTATAGATATCTAAACTGAAAAGCTATATGGATATTATAGAGAAAATTCATACTGTAGTTTTGCTGGGGTTAGGTGATTGTTTTTCCACTGTTTTAAATGTTTAAACTGCTCTATATTGATCTCTCAATACTGAGATTAAAACAGCAAAACATATCCTGTAAAACATGTATATACCCAGTATTGCTTATAAAAATTCATAATTAATCTCACATCTTACCAAGTCATGTTCTGCTTTCATAACACATAATTGAATTTTTCATAATATCATCATATCACATTTCATTGATTTCAGACAATTATCAAACCTGAAAAGAGTATGGATTTTTTACTGTTATAAATATATGTTTTTATACTATGATTGAGCCCAACACATGAACTCATAATTTAATTCATATAGTTCCAACCAACTTATATATCTTGTAGTGACTGTTTACAAATTTCTATAGAGACATGTTCGCTCAGGAGTTAAAAACACAGAACAAAAATGGAATGTTGTGAAAAGGTACTAAGTAGATTAATTATACGTTATGAGTATATTTTTGTACAGTACTGTAAACAAAGGTCATATTTGTTTAAATGGACTAACAAGATGGAGCAATTTAGTTTTAGGGATCCAGTGAATGAGTTGTTTTAATTTTTAGCAAGGAATATATTAGGGTTAACTTGCATAAATGTAAGGCCAAATTTGATAGCTCTTATGATGTCCAAAATTTTGAGAGTTCATTATATAGCGGTAACGAAGCCCATGGATGGTTATAGAATGGCGAGATTGCTGTTAATTAGTTTGTATACTGGAGTAGATATTACTTCCACTCATCCTCTAATTTTGCTATTTTTGTAGCCTACCTTTTTAACAATATCTTTCCCAGCTCATGGATTTTCTCTTTACAAGTTTTAAAAACTAAAAAAATAATTAAAACACACCTTAGGAGCCTATCCTTAGACAATAACACATGAATTTGTAGATCCTACTAAACAATTGTTAGGGTATCCCACTAAACAATTGTGCCACCATTGCATGAAGAAATCGCGTTTGTATATAATTGAACAATGTACCTATCAAAATGGTTAAATCAAATTATTTGAATTACTTAGTTAGATCAGTTATATTTTAGGTGATATCAAAGGAAGGGAAGGGAGTAGTTTTACTTTATAAGGTAGTAGTTAAATAGTTGTATTAATATTTTTGTACCTCAACTAGGTTATTTAAATATTTCTTATGTGCCAAAATTTCTTGAATCATATTATATTTTTAGCTGGCTGATTTACTTTGTCCATGTTCAAAGAATTTTCAATATACAGACACATGAAATCATAACAAACAAGACTACTAGTTTTTTTTTCAAGGATATATAAATGTTTTTTTAAGGGTTATTTTGCCTGTGATAAAAGACCAGTTATAAGTAAAGTGGAATCTGCCTCTGTATATTTATTATTACCCTACCCCCCAGATGAAAGACCAATAGCCAGTACTCTCAAATTCTTGCAGCACTAAAATGAGTGATTTACCCAAGTGCAATTAACCTTAATTATATGTATAAATTATAATATAATCACACTTGACCCACACTTAATGTGGTGCACAATTATTTCACTGCGATTAAGTCATAATGATAGCTAAGCCCCCTTTTGTCTTTAACCCAATCCCCCTAATACATATCTCCTGATTGAATCTCTAACTGAATTATAATATAGTGGATTTCTAATCCATTGCAATTGCACTCAGCCCAATATTATACAACATTTCATGAACTATGTTTAAATTAAATTGCACTTGGGTAAAACACAAATTTTAGTACTACAAGAATTTGAAAGTAGGCTATTGTAATTAGGCCTTTCATCTAGGGGGGGGGATTAATAAATATACAGTGTCAGGCTGGAAGCCTTTTCATCCATTTTTCTTATAAGTTATACTGGACTCTTATCACAGGAAAAATAAACCACATTTATATATCCTTGAAAAAAACTAGTAATCTTGTTTGCTATGATTTCATGTGTTTGTACATTGAAAATTATTTGAACAATGTCAATGAGGGATTTTTGCATGAATAATGTAAATCAGACAGCTAACAATTTTAATGTGATTCAAGAAATTTCAGCACATATAAAGAGACATTACAATAACCTGAGGTGCAAAAATAATTCAAACTGTTTAACTACTACCTATGAAATAAACATATCCCCTTCCCTTCCTTTGATATCAGCTAAAGTGTAACGGACCGATCTAACTAAGAAATAAAAATAATTTGACTTTACTATTTTGACAGGCTTGTAATATATAAAGTACAAACTGTATACGGTTTCTTTAATCGAATGATGGTACAAGCCAGGCAGGCAGCAAATACTAAACTTGTTATACTGACCTCCATTCTGAAAATAAAATTTGATTCAAGAGATACTGGGAAATGGTAATAGACATCTTGACTTCTCAGCCTTTTCAAAACGACGACTTGATTACACCAGAGTTACACGACACCAAGGGCAAGGCACATGACGTGCAGCGTGGATCAAATTTGTGACCTGCAATATGCCAACTGGATTGTGACATCCGGAAACAAATTTGCTTGAAATTTGCTACATCCGGTGTGTCAGCCCTAAAAAGCAGGCGTCGCTGCGTTCATTCGGCGTTTTCGGCGTTCATTCGGCGTTATAATAGTGAGTTTTGAAATACAACGGCACGGCAACCGCAACATGCTTATCAACAATGGCATTGATCCTTTAAGACAAAAGAAAATGTAAGTTCGGCTTCGCCTCGTGAAATATCGACAGGTCTCGAGTAAATAAGTGTTAATTATGGCAAAAGTTTACAAATGAATATTGAGCGAAAAACAAATAAATATTTACAATATAAAACTTTCAAGAAAATCGTTTTAAGCTTTTTCAGGACTTACACGACAAAAATTATCACGCAAGTAATACTCGTTACCCAAAATACTCGAAAAATAATACTTTTATATTAATATCCGACAATCCACAAATGCCGTACTTTGATTATAGGTAGCCTAACAATCCGCACGGCGTGACATATTACTATATCAATGCTTGTATATATCGACTGCAGAGTGCAGTGTTCTAGTAGTCAACATTCACCGAAGGCGTTGAAACGAACGCAAAGTCGCATTACTGAACAAAACCATCGTTAAAATACAGTTTCCCATTGGCTAACAGCGCTGAATCCGTAGAATAGCAAGCTCTTAGTGGACAAACGTTTAATAACGTTCGGCTTAATTTATTCGAACGAAAGTTGCCAGCTTGCATGGTGAACTGAACGCTTGCTAATTGCTTATTTCGGAACGCGAACATGGAATTTGCGTGCATGAGATGTTATAACTCTGGCCTGTGGCATGTCACAAATTTTATATTTCACAAATCGGGGAAACGGTATATAGCTTACTCATTAACTTTCTAAGATCGTCGTGCATGTAGCTCTGCCCGAATGTATCCCAGTTTTAAATCATGGTACTTGCTCGAATATATCAAATGATACTACTAGTCTAGACTGTACATTTAGCGATAACTAATCGATATTTAACAGGGGGTTAAGGTATAAAAGTTTTATACAACTCGATAGAAAGGGATCGCTAGAAAGTTTTATTGCTCTTTATTACGTTGTCGGGGACGCACAAATAACTAATGCTATCCCCTTGCGACTGTTGTGACTTCTCGGCTAACGGACCGAAGCTTTGCATTAATAAAGATACGTGGTGTAGCTCAATTGCAAGTTGATAATAATCTGAAACTGCATGCGTTTACTAAGGAACGTATTTGTTTCTATTTATATAGGAGCCCTCCGTTGCCACTTTCACACTAAAAGGAGAAAGAGCAACGCTGTTGCCGACGGCAATGCACCTGTCATTCTCCAACGGGAAAGGAGAAGAGCAAGAGTTCTGAAGGTTTGTTTTTTTTTCAGTCTAACAATTAAAATTGGACCTGAGGCCCTATCCTCCAGCATAAAAACCAGTCACAGTTTTATAAATAATGAACCATTGGACCCTTAGGGGCTGTTTATATGAGCCCGGTTACCCGAGATTCAACGAAGCGTGAGAGTACTTTGAGGTTATTGAAAAAAGCCTTGCTATTGTTGAGGTGATTATATGAGTGCCAGGATCATGTATCTGTTCATTTCAATACCTCAAAATCATCTCACGCTTCGTTGAATCTCGGGTAACCGAGCTCATGTAAACAACCCCTAAATAGTATTGTTAGGATCTCATAATGGGGTTTATATATATAGCCTTCTGAAGTGCTTACGTCACACAGTTTTCTATCTATACAATTTTGTCCCACTTGTTTCCCAGATTGCATTGCGATTCATTGTTCGACACCGACATGACGTAAGCACCTCAAAGGTCTATTGGTTCATGTATTATTGTACCACAGTAATGCACAACCTGACGTTTGGCTGCATGTTGTTGGGAAAGTATTCAGTTTAAGAAAAAAAGCTCTCATAGAGGTTTGGGAGAATGCTCCCCGACCTTTTGGTCCTAAAAATTGATCCCGTCCCACCCTTTTCGTCCATGGACAAAATGATAACATTTGACGTCATCCTCAGTTACCGGGCCTTACGTCCAAGCCTAAATGTATAGTAACATTTTTTCTAATTCTGGGTATATTGATATGTGTAGAAACTTAGTAGAAGAAAGAAGGCGTTAGAGCTGACGTCCAGTCTCAACGAGGCCTCAAGGCAAGACGTCAAAAGAGGCCTCATACTGGAATCGATGTCGGCCGAGGAGTCTGTGAGTGACTCAGAAGATGAAGGTGGCAGAGAGCCAGATAGCCACGATGATGTCGATGCCTCTAGGAGGAAAAAATTGGTGGTACGTCCACTCTCTTGGAGAAGTGGACGATTTAACGATCTCTTCCAAAGCCTTGATCGAAAATGGACCCGACGGGCATCTGAAAAATCGAAGATAATGAGCAAACCACGACAACAAGGAAGTCTTAAAGAGAGCAATCCTCCAAATGGTATTCCTGACTGGATGATAGGGCAATAACTCCTGCATGGTAAACAAACGAATTCAGTGCCGTTATGATTAATATGTTCAAATCAACGAGAGCGGTTCACACACAAACATTTAGTTTTAGCTCCGGAATTCAAAAAAGATCATAACAGAAAAAGTGAACTCGTTGGGTTGTGCAGCTGGAAGGCTTGATGGTACACGAAGTTTGATTGGTTCCGCAAAACTGATATTAAGAATGCTTTTAAGGGCTGCTTTCCACTTACGCGTTTTTTATACGCACGTACACGCACGGAAATTTTTAAATGCTTTTAGATTTTTATTATTTAACATCTAGGTCAACTAATGCGTACTAAAATATGCAGAATAACTTCCTTCGATTTATTCACTTAGTTTTCTCAAAGGTAACATGCATAAGAATTTAGACTTTTAGGTGCGTGTACGTGCGTATGAAAAACGCGTAAGTGGAAAACAGCCGTAACTCCGGCTTGCCTTGCCTACGCGTTGTTTTCAAAACGGGTCTCTGTAAATCTATTGTTTTTGACATAGCTGCTAAAGGAATTTGTGTTTTCATTGATTACAATTAAAGCAATATTCGTAGAATTGTATTTGTAAAGTATTGCATACTAAATACAAAGTTTACAAACGAAATTATTTTGTCATTTGTTTATTTTGATCCCAGTTTACAGTGATGCAAATGTACTGCAAATCAATATAGCGTTTTCCACGCATTTGCAAGAGACGCAAAACTGTGGTTGGATGTATTATTTGCTTTAAATTCACACACGACACAAATCTATTGCAAACTTATTATGTTTGCAAGAGGTTTACACGCTGTGGAAATCCATGCAAAATCATTATTTGCGGCACAATTACACGCGAGGCAAACAATAATGCAAATTTAACGTTTGTGCTATGGTTTTGCACACGAAGCAAATCTATAGCAAATTTAATGTTTGCTATGCGTTTACACGCGAGGCAAACAATAATGCAAATCGGGTAAAGTTACTGGGTTTGCAATATGTTTGCACCATACGCAATCGCGGCAGGTGCCAACTTTGCAACTGTTTTACATGCGAGTGCAAACTAAACGTTTACACGCGTGCAAATCTGGCAAACTATGGTCAAAATTAAGTTTTGTCGCAGATTTGCGATTAGATTTACAAGTTCGCAAACCTAACTTTTCGCCCCGTGCTAAGCAAGAGTTATGATGCATTACAAACCCTGGAGGAGGGAAGCATGTTAAAGGGATTTGTTCTATCCACATTGAATAAATTGCCCAACATCAAAGCTGACCTTGTGAGGACAGATGAGCAGTGGGAAGAATGGGGGACGGATAATTTGATAAAGGCACTTCAAGGGTGGTTGAAGAGAAACCAGTCAGAAACTGGTAAAAAGACGGTAAAATAGAAGCGAGAGCACAATTTTTTTGGGCAAGATAATGCAGGAGGTAAAGGCCCTCGGGGGCCCTATTGTATATTTGGATGCAATGGCTCTCACTGGGGAGATGCCTGCCCAGTTTACGACACCCTTGAGAAACGACGGCAGTTCTTTTCACAAAAACATCTTTGCTTCAATTGTCGGCGATCAGGACACAGAGAAAACAAATGCCGAGGGAGAGGTTGTTACAAGTGCAAAGCAAGACATCACACCAGTCTGTGCAACAGGGAGTCTAAGAACGAGGAAATCTTAAACGGTTTATCGCCTGCGGAAGAAGAGAAATCCCTTCCTGCTATTATTCCAATTAAGATTCAGGGAGTAACTTTATGGGCATACTTAGACACTGGCTCTGGGAGGAATTTTGTTTCGAAGGAAGCGACAGATAAGCTGAAACTAAAGCCAAAGCGACATGAGACACATAACATTTTAACCATTAATGGAACGAAGAAGCAATCAATGCCAGTGTTCGATGTCAAAATCAAATCTGTTGATGGAAGTGCAAACGAATCGATTGAACTGACAGGAAGTAGAATGATGGATTTCACCACAGTTAAGCGGCCAACAATAGCAGGTGTGAAAGAAAGGTACCCACACGTAAGAGAGAAATCCTTTTACAGAACCCCAAACGAGGAATACCAGATTCATGTGATACTGGGAGATGCCTTCTACTGCCAGATCAAGACTGAGGATGTCATCAAAGGTGATCCAAATGACCCAATCGTAGAGGGGACTACCTTCGGTTGGATTGTGCATGGCGGCAAGGAGTATGCAGACGGTAGGTGTATGTTCGTGATTATGAGCGCTTGTACTCCTTAGACGTGCTAGGGATAGAAGACCGTGCTGAAGACGATCAACTTGATGTCTATCGAGAGTTCAAAGAAAACATCACAGTGTGAAGCGATGGAAGATACGAGGTTTGCGTACCATGGGTACCGGGAGCAGAACTTGTGAACACTAACGAGGAACCAAGTCGAAAACGATTGAAGAACATAGAGCGAAAGTTAACTCATGACAAAGAACTACGAGAAACTTATAAAGCGATTGTAAAAGACCAGCTAGAAAACAAGATTATCGAGCCAGTACCTGCCAACCAACAGGACCCCGCGTGTTTTACCTCCATCATAAACCTGTGGTTACAGAGCAAGCAAGTAGTTCAAAGGTAAGAATGGTATTTGATGCAAGCGCCCGACCCGGTCCATTAGCGAACAGTGTGAACGAATGTATGCATACCGGACCATCGTTAAAACCATTATTGTTGGACGTCTTGATAAGAGCGCGAATGTGTCCACACGTTATCCTTGCTGATATCCAAAAGGCCTTTCTTCAGATTGGTTTAAGCAATGAGGATCGAGATGCTTTCAGATTTCTTTTCAATGTCAATGGCCAAGAGAAGCATTTCTCATTTACCCGAGTTCCCTTTGGTGCAGAAGCAAGTCCGTTCATGCTAGGAGCCACAATCAACTACCACCTTGATCAGCAACCTGATGCCGTAAGAAACACCGTTCAAGCTCTGCGAGAGAACACCTACGTTGATAATCTCATGCAAACCGCAAGCAACGTTGACGAGTTAAACGTATTCACGGAACAGGCGACACACATTTTTAAATCTGCAAAATTTCCCGTCCACAAATGGGAATCGGATGTGTCAGATTTAGACGAAGAGCCTAACCCGAGCAAGTTACTTGGGCACATTTGGGAGAAGAGCGAGGACACACTGGAAATTAAGGCTGATACGAAGCTGCCAGAGGACGGTCCTGTAACGAAACGTACTATTTTAAGCAAACTTAGAGGGATATATGATCCACTAGGAATAATGTCGCCAACAATGGTAGAGGGCAAACGTATTTATCGCGAAGCCTGTGATGAGAGAGCCAGCTGGAATGCGGAAGTAGGTGACAACTTGAGAGTGCCGAGAAGCATTGCCAAGGACATACGTAAGTTAAAGAAGGTCCATTTGCACGTGTTCGCCGATGCTAGTAACGTCGCGTGTTCCGCGGAGACAATAGCAGTGATTGAACATTCGACCGGGGTGGTTAAAGGACTGCTGACATCAAAGAGCAGGATCTCGAAGCGTAACACCACTAAAGTGAGGCTAGAGTTGATTAGTGCTTACAGCCGAAGCTTGAGTCAACTAAGAGAGTATATGAAGAGCACAAACCTACCGTGGAGGGAGTATTGTTTACGTTAAAGCGAGATCCAGACGAGTGGGACTCATTACTTGAGAAACGTTCTTATTGGAGAACTTTAACTCTTTAAGAGTGACAGCGTGGGCCCTAAGATTCAAGCAGAACGCCCTCGCTAAGAAAAGAATGACGAAGAAAACTAGTGAACCACTGAAGAAATATCAAGCGCACGGAGTTTGTGGGTCCGACGAGCACAAACGGACGTTCAACCAGACTTAGAGACCCCGGGGTGGAAGCTGAAAAAAGAAGAGACTACAGGCATCTTCAAATGCAAGGGGTATGAACCGGTTTTCATTCCAAATGGGGAATTTGCGGAGAAATTAATTCGCCATAGTCATCAGCAAGTTAACCATATGGGCGTCGCGAATACAATGTCTACGATTAGAGAGAACTGGTGGATACCAAGATTAAGATCAAAAGTGAAGAAAATGATCAACTGCTGCAACCTGTGTAAAGTATTCAGTACAAAACCGTACGGGACTACAACCACCGCAGATTTACCTACCTTTCATACTCAAGGCGGAAGACCATTCGAGACGACCGGGATAGATTTCGCAGGACCGTTGAGCTATAAAGTATCGAAGACCGAAGAAGGCAAATGCTACATCATCATTTTTACGTGTGCGGCGTCCAGGGCCGTTCATCTCGAAGTTACAAAATGTCAGACAGCTGACGAGTTCAAGAGTAAGCTCAACGCCTTTATCACCCGACGTACGAGACCGAAACGCATTATATCCGACAACGCGTCCACCTTCCAGTCCACTGCTAGTTGGGTAAGGAAAATACGAAAGAGTGAATCACTTCAAGACCATCTAGCGCAGCGAGAGATTAGATGGCAGTTCAACCTCTCCAAATCGCCGTGGTGGGGAGGTATGTACGAGCGCCTCATCAAGGAGATCAAGAAAACGCTATACAAAACCATGGGAAGGTCACATCTGTATTACGATCAAATGGAAGCGATAGTAATGGACATTGAGAGACACCTCAACAACCGTCCATTGACCTACTTGGAAAGTCATAATGGTGAGGAGCAGGTGTTAAAACCCAACGTAATTATGTGGGGACAGAATTCTCACGTCGTTGAAGACTGTGAAATCGAAGGTGATGAAGTGAGTAAACTTCACGCAAGGTTGATGATGAAACAGCAACACGTATGGCGCCGCTGGGAGAAAGAGTACATCCACGGACTTTTGGAAAACCATAGTATTCATAGAGGAGCCGGAAATGTTCCGGAAGTTGGAGAAATCGTATTGGTTATTAGCGACGGAAAGAATATGGGAGAGTGGACTAAAGGAAAAGTTATGCATCACATTAAAGGCAAAGACGGTGTAGTGAGAGGGGTGACACTCCTTCACAAAGGCCATTATATTCAAAGACCCGTTACTCTTGTGTGTCCATTAGAAATCAAGTCCGTAGAGAAGGTTCAGGCTGAGGAAGCAAGCAAAGATATATTCGCGCGTGAGAAAATACAGTTATTAGCAAATGAAGACGAGTGAAAAGCAAGTTTAAGACTCAAGAACAAAACATTGAGATACACAGACCTAAAGAAACATTTGGCATTGTTGTGTTAATTGGTATTTTCAAGTTGTAAAATTATCGAATTCTAAACGTATAATTTTAGGGGAGCGTGAGCGGAATTGAGTTAATTTCGAAGGAACTAAATTAATTGAAAGTGGAAACACCAAACAAAAAATATAGAGAAAACGTACTGAGAACAGAGTGAGCGAGAAATTGTAGAGAGACCTTTTAATTTTATAAATTTTGTATATTTTTGATTTTGTTTGAATAAATATTAAGGAATTGAGAAAGAGATTTTTTGTACCGACGAAGTTCCGTACAGGCGTCTTGTTAATTATATTGTTTGTATTACAAGCGGGATCTCGGAAACTGTCGCATCCCGCGGCTAGGCGGGATCATATCAGCATTTTACTAAATGGTATAGCGTGTTTTTTAATAAAGGCGATGTGTGCATGTATATGTATGTATATAAACAGCCTCTAAGTAATGAAAATATTGTAATAAAAATAATGTTTTTGACACTTGACAGGGAATAACTACTACAATAAGTGGACGTGCGCGGTGCGCGGTTAAAAACAAGTTTAAAAAGAGTAATATCCGGTTTATTTTTATTGGTTAATTGCAAGGCTCTTGTGTAACATCTGGAGTGAACACTCTGTTAGAAAGCGCGTATTTTTCACGCTGGGTGATTCATTTCATTTAGGGCGTTATCGAGGACGTGAATAAAAGAAAAACAACCATATATCGGTAAGGAATTTTAAATTATCATATATCTCTCAATGTTCAAGCATATATTCGCTACAAACTTTTCTAAATTACATGGTATAGGCAATGATTTATATAGATAGATTGGCTATAATTATACGTATATAATAAAGTGCTGTATTTTTTGTGCGAAACTTTTCTTATCCCGCACACTGTGTATAGTCAATTATAAAATGACTAGCTAGTTTTTATTCCGCGTGGGGTTGCAATACTCGGCATCATTTATTCTAACTCCTTTGGAAATGCAATATATGTCCGACGCTTAAATATAAATTTCTTTGTATGAATCCCCGTCATGCAAAGCTCAAAACACATCAACGTTGTTTTGTCTAAACTAGGCATCAATCAGGTCAGTAAAACATGTAAACCAGAATTGTGAGCCGTGCTGCGGCCTTTATATGTGTGCCCGTCTATATAATTCTATATATATACGCTCAATGACAAGCAGTATATACTGTAGCCAAGCAGCTTTGCGTTTATTCGCATTATGTCATTTTTCATTTTCACCAACTGCGAAAGCAATTGATTTGAAGGCGAGGAATTAATGATAAAAACTTAAAATGTTCATAGCATGATAGTATACGATGGATTTTAAGGTTGGCTACGCAACTGTCTGTCCTTTAATTCTTTGGCACAGCAGAAATGCATGTATTGCGCCAAGCACTGCCCCTGGCTTCTGAAAAGCCATGAATTATCAATGATTATTGGAAATGAAAAAGATTATGCATGCATGTATGTGCAGTAAAAAGTCAGATCATTAAAATTCAAAATAAGTAAAGTCCGGTTTGGTCTTTAAAGGCTAGTTTCCAATCAGGAAAAATCTCCTTTGGATCGGAACGGAGAGGAAAATTTCCTTTGTCGGTGAGTTCTCAGGTGGGGTTTACGCAAAGGAAACTTTCCTGTTCGGTCCGATCCAAAGGAGAATTTTCTTGAGTGGAAACCAGCCTTAAGTATATTAAGTTGCTTAGCAAAGGGAATTTAAACACGTATTTGTCAAGGCTTGTATGCTGACATCTGGAACACTCATAGAAAGTGAGTATATTTAACACGAGAACATTTAGGACTACTAATTTGGGACTGCCAAAAAACCACCAAAATCGCATGCCTCGTGAGTATTTTTTATCGTTTCAACAATTGTAAAAATTGTCTATTAGATTGTGAAAATTGTTCACAACATGGTTTACTTTAATTTTACTTTAATTTAAAAAATATATATTTTCCTATAGTTTCCGAAAAATGTGAAACATCAGTTTTATATTGAGGTCGGGATAGCTCAGCATTAAAAGTAAACATTCAGTAAACATTTTAAGTGTTATTCACAACTAACATTGAAATTACAACTCTTATACTCTGGCTTAATGGAAACATGCAGCCGTAGAAGTGGAATCTAGAAGAGGAACGATAAAATATGCAACGTATATTATTAGCGTAATGCAGCAGGCAAACGGGTGCACTGTTATTTTCAACGTGTTATTTTAACCCCCAAAATAGGGGTTACAAAAAAAAGTCTAAAATAAGCCCTTTTTGGGGGTTAAAGTGATCCCCCTATGGGTATTAAAATTTAACCCCGATTTTGGGATTAAAATGACACCTATTTGGGTGTTAAAATGAACCTGTTGGGTATTAAAAATTTAATCCCGTTTAGGGTGTTAAATTTACTTAATACCAATAAGGGATTAAAAGACACCGGTGTTAAAATAATTAATTGTGAACTTTTAAAAGCTCACCTAAAGGTAAATTACTTCGATGGAAAGACATTTTTCGCTTGATTTTCTTTTCAATTGTGATCTATCAAGTGAATCTGCTTCGGTTTAATTTTACAATTGAAAAGAGAATTGAGCGAAATATTCCGTCCCATCGAAGATTTCCACCTCCACCTATATAGTGAAAAACCTTAATAATACCGAATCAACAAACAAGCAGCACAAATATCGTTATTATATATTATATATAATATTGAACACATGAGATCAATTACGTTTCCGTTTGAGTACAGCTAGTTAACTACGCATTAAAGGAATTGCTTCTATAGTATAGTTCTTTAATACTTTTTATTTACATTTTAATACACATGCACATTTGCAAAACAGTTAAAGAAAACGTTTTTAGGTGGAGTAGCATGCATGCATGAAACACAATGGTATAGTCATTAAGGCACTTGCTGTTCAGTTCTACTAAGCTAAGACTCACTCAACCAAGATGATGATCTGGCTGTAAGCAATTCTGATCCACGTTTCTTCTTTTACAATTTGCCTCGTAGTAAAATTTGCGGAGGTTTTCTGTTGTGCCAATTGCACGAGACGAGTCTTCATTCTACGAACAAATAGAAAAATTGCATGTATATGAGTGTAAATTTGAGTAGTGTACTGTGTATGCATACACTAGAGCACATTGTTCAACAGACCTGCAAAATCTACATGTTCTACGTGATCCAAAATGCAAACATACTCAAACAAATAAGCAGAAACATGTGAGTATAAGGAAGAAATAATTTCAAGTAATTTAGGCTTAGCAAATATAAAAAAATTCGAAAAAAATATTCCACATACCTAGATTTGCTGCCTGCAGTGTTATCAGGATAAGTTGCTTCGTCCATTGAAAATTGAACAGTTTTTTTAGAGTTGTTTTCAACATATATCGTTTTGCTAGGTTAGGGCTTTCTGGAATTGAAATGCATCCCAAATCTTCAGAAATTTTAATAATCCTTCAACCCACTTTGTCTTTGAGTTACCCATTGGCACTGCTTCTTCTACCCTCTACCGGGCATTGTGGACCTCTGTCCTTCTACTGCTTCTAAAGATACGAATGCGAATTGTTATAGACTATTAAAATATCCCAGGAACTTTAAAGGTAAATATCGGAGGCTCGCGATATCATGTATTCATGCTGATCAGAAACACAAAAACACTTCCCTGTCATTTTTGCAACTGAAAAACTATTTTCCCAACAGCCCCACAGGAAAAAATAAATCGACCAGCATAAAAAATTATAGAAACAACTATTTGAAAAACATTTTAGAATCAAACTATCAGAATCTTGCAATAAATTTGTCTTTTTTTGCAGGCCAAGTTAACATAATAAAAAGGCGGGAAAACTAAATGCAAGAATAAGTTTAAATATTTACCTTGAAATAGCTCGCAGTAGTCGCCAAATCCAGCTTTACGCATCCACAGTTGGTAGTCCTCTATTGAGTTTACCATTTTCGAATGAATAGTACCGAGAATGAGCACTTTTCACGGAGCGAGCGAGGGCTTCGTGTGTACTTTGCAAATATTTCGACAAGAAAGACCCGGCCACTGAGCTATATAAAGACCTGAAGTCTTAGCATAGGTATCCCTGGCAATTCAACTCACATCATGAGGTTTTCTTTTTCTTGATTAGTTGAGTCAGTTTGTCTTGATTTTTATATAATCAACTGCCAAAATTTGAAAGGAAAGTTAATGTTAAGACACTATCACTAATGTTTTGTACTTTATTAATTTATAAGCATACTCTGTTATACCTAACAAAACTCTTACTTTTTCAGTTTAATCAGAAATCAATTTTAAAATATTTGACCTTTTGAATTAACATTCTTGATGGCTCATGAAAGTTAAATTTTCATATATGAGAAACAATTAATTTATTTGTCTTTTCCAATGTCCCACTTGTAGACCTCAATAACATTTATGCAAAATAACCAGCAACATCAAATCATAGATTAATTAGCCTTGCAATACATATTATGTATAATTATGGATCTAAATTATCTGCACTGTTCCATGCTTGATTCACATGATCTACACTGTTCAATGCATGGTTCTTTGACAAATAATATGAACAAAAAATTGTATTTATAGCCTGATGAGAATATAGCTTGTTAACTATATATATACAACATGTTTAAGGGTCAGTTTTGAGAGATGGATAACTTAAAAATTTGTAGCATAAAAGATATCATCAAGGTTTTAAATGCCACTTAACTCTCATATATGTTAAAACTTATCCAAAAATGGAGCAATCAATTTTTTATAGCACTTAAATAGCTAATGCATTTGAGCATTACACTCAAATATCAACCAACTTTCAAACAATTAATGTGCAAGAAATCCAAGCATGCTTGTTCATTCAATAATAAATCAAATACCAAAGATTTTCCTGTTTTTTTGTTAATTATTTTGTAATGAATCTTTTTTATTTTTATATCCAGGATCACCCTAAAACAACCATGTAA